CCACTGGGCAGGCCCTAAGCCTCTGGCTGGCCCACTGGGCGGGCCCTAAGCCTCTGGCTGGCCCACTGGGCGGGCCCTAAGCCTCTGGCTGGCCCACTATGCGTTGCTTGTTTCTGTTTTACTTGGGTGGAGTATGAGTATTTATGACTCGTATGGTCGCTTCAGTAGGATTTTGTCCCACGTGTTTAACAAGTTCTTCTGCTCTGTTGAATCTAAGTTGAAATCTTAATGGGTTTGTAACTGTGCACTGTGTTAGATAATGTTCCAGTGGTCTGTTGTGGCTGTAACTGTGCACTGTGTTAGATAATGTTCCAGCGGTCTGTTGTGGCTGTAACTGTGCACTGTGTTAGATAATGTTCCAGTGGTCTGTTGTGGCTGTAACTGTGCACTGTGTTAGATAATGTTCCAGTGGTCTGTTGTGGCTGTGCACTGTGTTAGATAATGTTCCAGTGGTCTGTGGTGGTTGTAACTGTGCACTGTGTTAGATAATGTTCCAGCGGTCTGTTGTGGCTGTAACTGTGCACTGTGTTAGATAATGTTCCAGTGGTCTGTTGTGGCTGTAACTGTGCACTGTGTTAGATAATGTTCCAGCGGTCTGTTGTGGCTGTAACTGTGCACTGTGTTAGATAATGTTCCAGTGGTCTGTTGTGGCTGTAACTGTGCACTGTGTTAGATAATGTTCCAGTGGTCTGTTGTGGCTGTAACTGTGCACTGTGTTAGATAATGTTCCAGTGGTCTGTTGTGGCTGTAACTGTGCACTGTGTTAGATAATGTTCCAGCGGTCTGTTGTGGCTGTAACTGTGCACTGTGTTAGATAATGTTCCAGTGGTCTGTTGTGGCTGTAACTGTGCACTGTGTTAGATAATGTTCCAGTGGTCTGTTGTGGCTGTAACTGTGCACTGTGTTAGATAATGTTCCAGTGGTCTGTTGTGGCTGTAACTGTGCACTGTGTTAGATAATGTTCCAGTGGTCTGTTGTGGCTGTAACTGTGCACTGTGTTAGATAATGTTCCAGCGGTCTGTTGTGGCTGTAACTGTGCACTGTGTTAGATAATGTTCCAGTGGTCTGTTGTGGTTGTAACTGTGCACTGTGTTAGATAATGTTCCAGCGGTCTGTCGGGCATTTCTCCACAGTGCTGACATTTCCTCTCATCTTCCGGAACCTGTAAGCCTATTTCCCATGCACATGGGTATCCAAGCCTGATGCGATGTAAGTGTACTTCTGTTGTTCTACTGCTCCCTTTCATCAAACTAAGTGGTTCGTAGTTGGTTGAATTCTTGTACCAACCCGCAGATCCTGATGTTGCAACTGCTGTGTTGTGGTCACTGTACATCACCTGCATTGCTCTGTTTCTAGTTACTTTCTTAATCTGTGAGAGACTGCGGTATGTAAATGTCTACATTTCTTCTCTTAGTTGCAAGTTTTGCAGCTTCGTCTGCAATGTCATTTCCTATTATTCCCACATGACTTGGCACCCAGTTGATAAGTACCCGTCGGCCTTGTCGTTTGAGTGTTTGCATTAATGATATGACATTTGTGATCAGATGTATGTTATCACATATATGTTCTTGTTACAAGCTTTCAATGGCAGTTCTTGAATCGGTATGTATGATAACATGTTTCTACTGATCTATCTGTGAAGTGAAGCTGTCGGATGCCAAGTTTGCTTCTATATGCATCTGTGCAATATTATATAGCAGATGAGGATTAGTCTGGTTCTATTTTCCCTCAAGAACCATAACCTTAAAGTCTGCTGGCGGAGATTCCCAAGGGGATTGCATAACAAAGTCTGCATGTATTTCGTCGACACCCTTCTCAGTGACTGTGTTTGTTATATCGAATGTATTGATGGTGTTTATCGCACAATGGGTCCACCTGTTGCTATTGGAGGCTCTTCTGTCCAGATTTAGTGCTTCAGTGATTATATCTTTAAGTGAAATGATTCTAGGTCTAGTCAATATCTTGGTCAGCATGCACGCAGCAATCCCTTTTACCCTTAATTCAATCAACGTTAGCGTGGTTTGTAGTCTTAGGTTCAGTAATTTAGTCCATCTGGGAGCTCCTGTTATGACTCACATTGCATCATTTTGAATAACCTCAACATTTGTCCACTGACCAGGAGAAAGGGTGAATAAGGCAGGCACTGCATAATCAATTAGGGAACGAACGGCATGTATTTATTTATTTATATACAAGAAGGTACATTGGGTTTGTGAGAATACATAGCATGGTATTTACAATCTTGTAAAGCCACTACTACGCGCAGCGTTCCGGGCAGAAACGTAAAAAATGTAAACAAAATGTAATGTAAAAAAAAACTGTATGTAAAACATTCTTAACACTGTGTGTCCCGCTCCTAGACGAGGCCCTGTGATTGCTCTCATTATATTCAGTCGTGATTTTGCTTTCTCCTTTAAATATTGATATTGTGTCACTGAAGGTTAATGTATTGAATGCCTAGGTGCCTGTCTGGAGTGTTGCCACCATTACCTTAGACTTCTGTGACCGTCCAAAGTGGTTGGGCACTATTCCTCCCCCCCCCCCCGTTCCATCCCAAATCCAATGCATATGTCACTGGCGATCTATACTTAGATGTGACTTCAGTATTCTGTATCAAGTCTCAGTTGTTAATTTTTATGTATCTATGATCTGTAATTGGGATTTGTCTGTTCAAAATTCTGTTCCTATGCTTCGAGCACTGTAAGACTGTGTTAATACGCGTTATTACCACATTAACTGAAATACAACATAACACATATTATAACATAATACGCATATTATAACATAATATGCGTATTATAACATAATACGCATATTATAACATAATACGCGTTATGTTGTATTTCAGAGTGTTCTGCCCAAAATGTTTCACAACCAGTACTGGTGGTAGTAGCATGACAGAAGGAACACGAGCACACACATAAGGGGGGAGACACAGTCCCCCCCTCACAGAGTGGTAGACGGTTGGAACAAGTTAGGTGAGAAGGTGGTGGAGGCCAAGACCGTCAGTAGTGTCAAAGCGTTATATGACAAAGAGTGCTGGGAAGACGGGACACCACGAGCGTAGCTCTCATCCTGTAACTACACTTAGGTAATTAGAGTGCAGGAAACAACAAAGGTGCGGTACTTACATACGGCAGGAGTTCAGCGGCGGCCATCCCGGTGATGATGAAGAGATACCTGATGATAACCTTGAGATTGTTGGGCCAACACGTACACAACGCCGCCCACAGCTCCTCCACCTCCTTGGGGTGGTCCTCGCCCAG